GTTACCCTGGGTACGAAATCACCACCAGTGCCAAGAGCTGACTTCCAAATGAAAAAAGAACGCAGCACAACTTCATTCATGAAACATGCTTCTAACAATTGTTATTGTTTGAAAACTCGTGCCACTGACAGTGCATGTATCGTCAAGCAACTGTTCAGCAAGTATTAGCAGGCTCCTGTCATTTCAACGGCAGAATCAGATTTCTTTTCAGAAAAATTAAAGTATACAAGTGTTATTTAAAACTTTCCTTTTTGCTAAAGCATGGATGGTGACCCTGGACCAGGTGACCCTGAATCCTCCCTTAGTTATCCTGCAATAGACGTAGGCTGCTGGGGATTCCCATGATGCATTGAGTTTTTCCTTTCCAGTCACCTTTTTCACTCAGTATGTGTTAATAGACCTCTCTGCATTGAATCATATCTGTTATTAACCTCTGTCTCTCTTCCACAGCATGTCTTTATCCTGTTTTCCTTCTCTCACCCCAACCGGTCGCAGCAGATGGCCGTCCCTCCCTGAGCCTTGTTCTGTCGCCAAAGTGCTTGCTCATAGGGGGTCATATGATTGTTGGGTTTTTCTCTGTACCTATGAAGTGCCTTGAGGCGACTTTTGTTGTGATTTGGAGCTATATAAATAAAATTGAATTGAATTATTTTAAATCATATTTATTATCAAGATATTATTCATATTTGTAATAATGAAAAACATTATTTTTTTGCAGAAGCTCATTTAAGTAGCTTTTTAGCTCCACCAAGACCCTGAAATAACACCAATTGTTTCTTGAATTGACATCTCAGTTTGATTAACCATCCATCCATTCGCTTATCCTTTTTCAGGGTCTATTTTTTCTGGAGCCTATCCCAGCTGTCATAGGGCAAGAGGCAGGGTACACTCTGGACAGGTCGCCAGTCTGTCATAGGGACAGACAACCATTCGTGGGCAATTTAGATGTCTTTGGACGGTGGGAGGAAGCCAGAGTACCCGGAGGGAACCCATGCAAACACAGGGAGAAGATGCAAACTCCACACAGGCCTGTTGTGGTGGAATTGAACTCAGGACCTTCTTGCTGTGCGGCAATAGTGCTAACCACCGTTCCACCGTGCTGCCAACCAGTGATCTTAATTGGATAGATTGTTGGTTGGATTCATTTAACCCATTAACCTCTGAGTCATACAAGGTCACCAACAATGTTTTTAGCCTTCTGTGTTAATCTCCATTTAGGAAAAGCCACAGTTAAACTATATGTTGTCAACTAACCCGTTGAGCGAAAGGAGACAGAAAAAAATATTTTGGTGTGGAAAGCTCCAAGAGTAGAAATTATAGCCCTGCAGAAAGGCATGTGTATATTCAACTTCTCTATTATGTGTAGAAACTGAGACCTTTCCACAGCTCACCAACAACATATCTGACCTCATCTTAAGCACCACTTAACTGGAAGCCATAAGCTGCCGTATGATCAGCACTTGAAACTACAGTTTTAAAGGAAATTTACACATGCACCCAAGGATACAAAGGAATTCAACCAAGTCAGTACTTAGAATAAAAGTCTTAGACATGTTCATTTTAACCTTAGCTTTGTCTTTCTTCGTCTTTGTTCTTTGAAAAGAATATCCCATTCAGGGGAATTTCCATTTAAAAAACAAAGTTCACTTGAAATAAGTTACAGTCGTTGCATCAGTATTATCCTCCGCTTTTCATTTAACTCTTGCAACACAGCTTTGGGGGGGGAAGACTTGCAAACTTTTCAACTCATTTGACTTGAAGGTTTTTGCTTTTTCAAGCCAAGTTTACATTATTCCCTATAAAACTGACTTGACTTACAAATTGTGATAGAAAATGTAAACAGAGCTTTGACTTTTCTACAGTGTTAACCACGTGGCCACATTTCCTTGTCTTTATGTGCAATAGCAAACAAACCCAACACCCCTCCTACACTGTCTCCTGCTTGTTTATGCTTGAACCGATTAAAAAAAAACAAAACCCAAAAAACCGGGAAACCACCTTTTGATTTTAAACACGATGAAACAAAAGCTAAAATTGCTTGGATATTTTTTTCTATATCAAGCTGACACTAATAACTAAAACCAGCAATGTCTACTGATCGTACTTGAAAAACAGCCTGGCAAAAAGGTGTAAAAATGAGTGTAACAAGCCCAACTAATTATCTGCTGAATAGCTAGTTCACCAGGCGTTTGTTACATGAGAGAATGAAAGGCTTCAGGGGCTGAAAAACTTCAGCTGGAACCTCCTTTCACTCTTTAGAGCTGAGGAATTCCCAAAGTTTGCTGAAGCGCAAACGATTGGGAATGTGCCACTCTGTCCCTCTTGCAGGAAAAAATCGTCATTAAGCATTTTGCAGAGGCTCTCGAACCGGAATGAACCGCCGGTGACGCTGATGAAACAGGCCTAACGGGGCTTGTAATGTACCCTGTGGATGGAGAAGGGGAGAGGTGAGGCCCTGATGAGTTTTTGCAGACTGAGCAAGTGATGTCTTTGCTTTGAAGTCCTCAGAGCTCCACGTGCATCGCTTTGCCCTGCAGTAAGACAGTCTGAGTAATCACAGATTAATAGAGCAGGCTAATCCCATTGACAAAGAGGTCACTACTAGCAGACAGACGCCCCTCCCCCAGATCTGTTCCAACACTGTGGGCCACAAAGGGAAAAGAACTACAACCGGACAACCCCCCTGAGTCCATCCATTACAGAGATCAACTCACAAAAATCACACTGCATGATGGGTTTTCCAATTCCAGTCTGCTGGATAGTTTTACAATATCTAACAAACATTGTCTAAACTTCTTATACAGCTACATTTTGAAATCAATATGACATTATAGCTAAGTTTTGCTCAGGTGTCATGAAGATAAAGGTCTATTTCTTTAGAGCTTTGCCTTCCTAAGCTTTTTTTCCCTAAGATGGAAAAAAAAAAAAGAAGAACAAACTAATGCCTTAAATTGTTGGAGGCATTTCATGATTAATCAATTTGTCAAAGCTACAACCTATTTCAGCTGTAAGCTGACTGTGAACATTGATTTCCTACTGCTGAAATCAGCTCAGCCTCCCCTTCCGCTCAATTTTCTAACATGTTCAGGAGAGGAATTTTAGATGACATAACAGAAATGTAATAGCTTGACCGCGCCGTGCGTCAGAGCCAAGACAAGTTAGGTCTGGTTAAAATGGGATGCCAAATCTGATTTACTTATTAGCACTCATCCGCTGACCTGATGTTTTCTGAGGCAAACAGCCCAGCTCGTAACCACCAAAAATTGTGTTTTTCGCCCACTTTTAACTGAGACATTTCAGAGCAGATTACAAAATGCATGATGAGACTGAGCAGGCCAGCAGTTACAGGATATTCCTTGAAAGCTCTCGGGGCTTGGTCTAGACAGGTTGTTTTGTGTGTGTGTGTGTATGTATATATATATATATATATATAAAACAAACAGTGCAGAGAATTTATAAAGCACCCTCAGTACAAAATGAACATTCACCTCCAGGGACACAATTCTGCAAAAACACAGGAGACTATATTTATTTCAGCTCTTCCTCATATCCTCTTAACACATAAAATCTTTTCAGATTTGTTCTCAGCTGTTCAAGGCTTCCCAAAGTCTCCTCTGCATACACTAACTTGTCTGTCTTTGGTCTTGTATGGCTGACCCTCCTGTTGCCACTCTGGCCCCCGTCATGTGACTTACTCCCTTCGTTTGTCGCTCAGCAACACCGCTGCAGGATGTCGGAGAGCAGGTTCTCGCTGGGGCCCTGTGGGAGTGTCTTTTAAGAGCTTTCTCCCCTGGCTGCCAGAGAGGGTATTCTCTCCACTTTAACACCCTCCTTGACCCGGGCCTCCTCTCTAAAGGACCTGGGAGCTTTGCAGGAGAATGCCTCTGCATTGGTTTCCACTGCTCTCTCTACCTCTCTGCAGGCCTCTCCTCTGGAAATATTCATGCATTTACAGGTACATAATTGTCCATGAAATGTACTTTGGGATGCTGCCTAGACTCGAGAACTTGCCGCTTTCCAAATGACTACTGTTGCAGGAAATTATTCAGACAGGGAATCAATTGGCAATTTTATCTAAGCCCATAAAGTAGGCCCTGAGATTTGATTTAGCATTAAGTAGAATTAGAACATTTGGCGATGTGAGTTAACTGCAGGCAGGGAAGGATTCCCCACCCATGCCGACATAATAGTGACATTGCATGATTTGAAGCCTCTTATAATAGAAAAAAGGCAAAGATGAGTGAAAATTCAAACAATATGTGCCTCTGACTTCCATGTCCTGGCACACTTAAGAGGGCTCAGTGTAGCGGCCGAGCACACAGAAGCAAATGCATGACCCAGCTTTCCCCGTAACCCAAGACAGGTGGAAACCACAAATCACAAACTGTAAAACAGCACAAAAATATTTCTGTTATCTCCTCTGAGCTGCTGACAGCCTATGCGTCTTCATTCTCATTGTGCTTCAGCATGCTTTTGCCAGCTCGATAACAACATTTAGCAGTCTGCATCTGCTCCAATAATCCATCACAGGACCGAGATGATAGAGGCGTATGAAAACAGGAACTCGTCATCACTGATACAGTAGTTCTTGTCGCATGTGACAAATGGAATATTCTGCTGTACGCACTTTATCTAAAACCCCAGTAAAGGTAACAAATTGAGTTGTAGTTCCCAATGTTGTGAACAAGTTCAAAGAAAAGAGGTCAAGTAGATATTAAAGGGTAATGTTCAGTTGAACCTGGACTAAAACTATGAAGGGATTTTCTTGGATTGCTCTTTATATTGAATATTGAACTGTTGGTCTTGTTTAATCTTAAAAGTCATAAGTAGTCAAGAGTTAAAGGAATGAATTTAAAAAGATCAGTGCCCATACATCTGTGAGGGGATCTAGTCTAGTAGCAATAAGTGGAGGAAAAGCGGCAAAGAATGCAGAAATAAACTTGAGTGGGCCAGCATGGCCAGATGGCCTGAGACGGCGGTTGAGAAAACTCCGGTCTTACCTGCTGATTTTGGAGTGAACTTGTCCCTGTTGGCAGCGCACACAGCCAGGAGCCGATAGCCCAGGTCCAAGTCAAAGCCCTGCTGCGCTGCTACGCGGCTAACCACCTGAAAACAACAACAGCATGCAGCACACAGTCAGTATGGCCTGAGGTATGTTTTCTCTGAAGAAAAAGCTGAACGAAAGTCTAAACCTCTTTTATTTCTCAGAAAACTTCACTTTCTAAGCATTATGATAGCTTACACCTACATATAGGTCAACAGAAGAGAGCAGAGGTCAGCATACAGTGCTGAATAGGGACATTACTGCAAAAAAGGTTTTTCTGCAGGCTGTTTCATTATATTTCCAGCTCACAAACAACATTTTAAGAGCAGATTTTGGGAAATTTGCATAAACTCAATATTTCCCTTTGTCTCTAGCAGGGAGTTCCTAAAAAGGCCAGCTGAATAACAGTGGGGGCAACTATGAGAAATTTCCTCACTTGTTCCAAGCCCACACAAACATTCTAATGTGCTTATTTTCCGAACAGAAAATGTTTACATTTTTGATTTACCATCTGCAGCGCCATTTGCTTTGACATCCACATACAGAGAGAGCATCACGGCCTCATGCACACGCCTCCTTTTACTCACTCCAGCGCAGCAGCTGATGGCAACAAGCTTTGTTTTCATGATAAATATTGCAGATCGCCATCATAATCTGCTCAGTTCTTTCTTTCCTTCTAAAATTTCCACAATTGAATCTTGAAAATCCTGCTAAAAACTAATGACAGACACTCGCAAAGCTGTACGACTGCATCGTATCTACTGAATACAGATCTGTGCTGGGTAGTTAAATCCACCACATGACGGCTTTTCCCAGAATCTGACTGTTAAAGGATAACCTCACTACAAGTTTATCAGTTCCATATGAGTAAGTGGACAGCAAGATGAGGAAAAAAATACTGCCTCCAGTCCAGAGATGCCCACTGAGAGGAAACATTAAGGGGAAGCATCAACATGCCACAGGAGGCCGTGTAAATCACCCTTACATCCCACATGTTGCTTTGATTTGCCGTCATCATTATCAGCTCAAAAAGAGCCACTCAAATCGTTTAGACCTTTAGGACATGCTAAGGTCTGTGTGGACCAATGGGCCCCACTAGATTCCCCTCGCTGCCTGGCTTTTCATAGCAGCGATCCCACTGTCACACGCCAAACTTCAGTACAAGCCCTGAGGTAGCACTGCTGCTGGGACCGTATCATTATCTTCTGTAAGTATAGTCTGGACGTGACACCAAAACAGATTATGTATATCTGGCCTTTATTTATGGGAATCCCCCATTAAGAAGAAGAAATATAGAGTACAGGCTGCCTAATTAGAATCTAAACTTGCGAGGGACATTTAAATGGTATTTTTAGTGTAAGAAGTTACAGTTCTAATTTCAGGACTTTAATTGTACACAGTCAGAGGAGTTGTGGTGAACTGTCTACCATAAGGCAATCATCTAAGCAGGCACTGCAAGGCTTGAAAGCAGGGAATTGCTACTCAACTGTACATTTTTCTGTAGTTTCAAGCTCGATAAAATGAATCTTTTTGTTAAATTTGCTTGTTTTTTCCCCTCTTAAATATTTTGGAGATTAATCAACTTGAAACAAGCTTAAAAAAAAAATCAATACTGCGTCATACATGAATGCTATATATTGTCATTAAAAATACGATTTTAGAGTTATAACATGATAGCTTAATTGATTTAGGTTTTTTTTTTTTTTTTTTCAAGAAAAAGCAATTCAACATCCAACAGAAGCTCCAGTCATAATTAAACATAAAAAGCCTTATTAACTCTTACATTGAGATTAATTAAAAGACTAGTTTTGAGTACCCATCTCCTTGTTACCTTATCTTACCTTATTAAGTCGTTTATTTATTTTTTTTCAAAGTCCTGTAATTTCCTGTTTGTTTTTTTCTCACTGGTACAGCAGCAAATTTCTACAAATGTTATCGCCTGCATGGAGAATCATTGCAGTGTTGCCACTCACCAGTGTTTAAGTGCAAGCATGCAGGCAAAACTGTAAAGTGTTTATCATTAAAGTCTGTGACCAGGTAATTTCACAATCACATCAGATTCTCTGTGCTCCCTCCCAGTGTGGTTCACACCAAGGTTTACACAACCTATAAACTAAAAGGAAAAGCTTTGAGATTTTCACGGCGGGAAACAAATTGAAGTGGCGAAATGGAGGAGAAGGTACCTGCTGCTGCACATTAAAGCAGGAACACAATCGCTTGAATGGAGGGACGTGTCACAGTAGTTTCGCTGAGGCCCACAAGCACAAACCTCTCAGGCTTCTTCACCTGCTGTAGCCGAGCTCGCTTGATGGGGATACAAATTACACCTAACAGGTGTGTCTGTTACGTAATGCTGGAGGCAGCATGTTAAAGCACAGTCAGGCCCACTGTGACAGGTGATTGACACACCCACTGTCTATTCACTGTTCTTTTGGCTGTTCTTTTTCTTGGTACTTGATTAGCTAAATTTGTTGAGTCAGTGCATCAGCTCTGAGCATTTAAGGTTTTTGTAATAGTCAATGGTGAATGCTGGTTAAAACGTGGCAACACATTTAACAAATGTGTTCCCATGTGATGATGTAATCATGTTTTCTAATTCAAACATGCTTTTACCATTAAAGACCCCCCCCCCCTTTTTTTAAACCTGTGTGTATATTTATAGCATCCTCCTTATGCATTTCATGCATGTGTTATTTTCAGACATATGGGGGTTATGTCACCCCCCCTTCTCCTCATCAGTAATGATCTAGTCCGGTATTTACTTGGGCGTGACTTAGCCAATTAACCAATACCTACCTATTATATGTCAGCTGACCTATCTATGAAGTTTTGACTGGTTATTTTGAATTTTTTTCTGCTTCCTGTCTTGTATTTAAGCAATTTTTACAATGTTTTACTATGACCCTGATGAAGGCCACAAGCCGAAACGCGTTGGTCTGTTATTAAAGTTGTTCTTCTTCCCTCAAGTGTTGCTGGAGTTCCTGCTTTGTAAAACATGGCATAGACAGCTATACTGGTTTTAATGGTGGCAAAATGTCATAAAAACAAAAACTTTCAAGTGAAATTTCACATAGCACAAATCTGCCTACGCATTTGCCTCGTATGGTTCATATATATATGTATATATAGCGTTAGCTCTGGTAGTTGTTCCTTACACATCTAAGCTAGCATAGATAAGTGCCGCAAATGACAAAGTAAACAGGCTGTGTAAGCAGTGTGTTAAGTTTAGCTTTCAAATTCTATATGTAATGCAAAACAAAACAAAAACAAATAAACACCACATATAGCTAAATGGACAATTTCTCAAGAGAAATGAGTATACTATGTCAGTTTATCATGATCATATAGAGCAGGAGTGGGCAATCTCAGTCCACGAGGGCCGGTGTCCCTGCAGGTTTTAGATGTGTCCTCGAACCAACACAGCTGATTTAAATGGCTAAATGAGCTCCTCGACATGCCCTGAAGTTCTCCAGAGGCCTGGTAACAAACTAATCATGTGATTCAGGTGTGTTGACCCAAGGTGAGATCTAAAACCTGCAGGGACACCGGCCCTCATGGACTGAGATTGCCCACCCCTGATATAGAGCTACATTTGCTAACTGGCTAAGGGTCATAGCAATAAACGACTATGTAGTTGTTCAAAAAATTAATTTCTTTCAATTCAAGATTAAGCTATTATTCCCAGTGGAGCATTTTACTAAGTGAACATTAAACTTACTAGTATAAACGATATTCAGTCAGGGTTAAGAACTTAGCTCCTGACATATTGGCTGTGTCTGATTAAATTTAGTTGAAAATATACAAACCCTGACTACTTTGGGCTAAACGTTTTCTCCAGAAGCCTTAATTTCAGATGTCATAGGACAGTAATTATTCAATCAATCAAAAATCCATAGGCATTTGGTAAAGACACAGAAGACAGATTGAGAGCTGATTGCTTTGTGGTTTGAGAATGTTTTTGACGTTGTGGATTTTATATCAAAGGCTGGAACTAAAGCAACAGAAAGGTGGCTAAATGGGAGCAGTTTCTACAAGGTTAAACACATTTTACATTTTCAGTGACCTCACGGATGATCACCAGGCTAAACATGAGTATTCTTGCATCCCTGAGGAGGTTATGGAAAGAGTGCAGCAGTTGTTCAAGCGGCTAGTTCCTCATTCTTGAAACTCTGAACATGAGATTATGGAAGGTGCTCACGACTGGTGACTTACCGTTAGGCATCCCATCAGGCTTTGCTCGAAGGGGCGCTGGAAGGCTCTGGGGTCACCACACCAGTCCAGCAGCTCTGTGGCTGCTGTTTGGAAATTTGCTGGATTTTGTAGGTGCTATGCAGAAGAGGAGAAAGATGGAAATCAATGTGATTCCAGTAATATTCAAATACTTTAAGAAAATGGGACAGAAAACAGGTAACTGCTGTAAGTAATAAGCATTAAACAAAACAATAAAACAAATAAGATGTTATGCTTGAAATAGACGCATGACAATAAAAAATTGTAATTAATAAGTGCTGTCCTCTATGTTTATTTAGTCATTAATAAAATGTATTATCTTATTAGAATTCATTAAAAGCATTTGCTTGTCTAAAATGTGTGCAGTTACATGTTTTCCCACCTGCTCTGAAAAAAGCTTTTAATATTTAACTTTTAATTATGAGCTCTCGAAGTAGAGCAAATGACAACAGCATTTTTATGACCAAATGTTCTGAAATGTTGCTTATGATGCTTTGGATTAATTATTTTAAATGGGTTAAAATATTACCGCTCTAGGCTGATAGTATGTCCCAGTTCCACTCAGCTACTATCTCAGGTTTCTGTTGCAATAAATCTTCCTTGTATGGCTGCATGAATCCACGAGGAAGCCCTTATTTCAGTAGCCAACCCTTGGCTGTTCTCTGACTTTATCTGACAACAAACTCCTTGACCTACAGACACCCTTTTATGGCATTCGTTCCCCTCCTGCAGCCAGCACTAACCTGCATTGTCTGTATTGCTGTAGAGCAGCACAGAAAACTGAAAAAGGACTTCTCTGGGTCTCCGTATCAACCTTACTGTTGGTCATTTCTCCTCTAAAAGCTTTCGAACCACAATACAAATCACTTTATACATAGCAGAGCAGATGCACCACCACCACCACTCTGCTGTAATCTGTTGCCTTTGGAAAGATTATGCACACAAGCTTTTGTAGTGCACTTGTACAAAACAGGAACAAATGGACTCCCACTCCATGGCATCAAAGGTAAATAGAGCGGTTTGTCAGCTTAAAGTGAATGGCTGCCTTCCTAATACGTCGGCGTGCTTTGATTTCACTGTCAGAGAGAGAAGAAGAAGAGGAAGTGACAGGGGTACAGTCACTGCTGTGCAGTGCTTTTTTCTTGCTTGCTCTTTAGGGGGCAGCAGAGGTTAGGATTTGATAAGGCTGCTTTCATATCAATTTACAAAGCTGGTGTTTGACAAGCAGTGGATGAAACCAGTCTTGTTTATTTCATACTCTGTCCAAGACC